GCTCCTCCAGACCCTCTCCAACAGCTCCCTGTCTTTCTTGTACTGGGGGCTCCAGCCCTGGATGCAGTGCTGCAGATGGGGCCTCACAAGAGCAGAGCAGAGGGGGACGATCAGCTCCCTGTCCCTGCTACCACCCCTCTGCTGATGGAGCCCAGGTTTTACGACTGCAGATTCAGGTTCTATGCATTTCAACAGACCCGAAGAAAAGAGCAGTGAGACACAGGTTGCCCAGGGAGGTTGTGGATGCTCCCACCCTGGAGGCATTCAATGCCAGGCTGGATGCGGCTGTGAGCAGCCTGGTTGAGCAGGAGGCACCTCTGCCTATAGCAGGGGGTCGGAATTAGGTGATCTACCAACCCAAACCATTCAGTGATTCTATGAGAGGGATGGGTTTGCTTTGGTGAAGGAAGCAAAGGGACGAACCCTTATGGTGAGCAGCCTGCAGCCATGGGGTGACCGCTGTGACTCAGCCCACGTTTCTCACCACAACCCAGCACCAAACCCACACACACGCCGGGAAAGCCACGAGAACACACGATGGAAGACAACAGCTTAATTAGGGGCTGACAGAGCTTTTTGCTGCAACACGTGTGGGTGAGAAGAGACGAAATGACAGAAACGCTGTTTCGATCGCTTTTAGCTTTTCCATTTCCCAGAAAAGTTCTGAGGTGAACTCGGCTGCTGGCAGCACTGCAGCACACGAGAGAGTGCCAGGCTGCTGGGGAACGCAGCACTGCTGAGAGCTACCTAAAGAAGGCACAACCACAACATCACTGTATCGTTGGCTCACTCTGGGCTGCTCAGAGGCTCCAAGCGCAGGGCTCACCTCACACGGCCTGATTTCCTCAGAGAGTAAATCCCCAGAGAGGAGCTGGAGAGCCTAGGAGAGCCCCACAGTGCTTCTCCTTCCAGCACAACACGAGCTGGCAGAGCAGCACTGGGCACCGTGCTGAGAAATCCAGCGCTGAAGAGCTCAGGACAAAACTCACCCACGGGATTTTCACATGACCCTCCTTCTCCCCTGCACTTCTGCAGTTTAATCCCGTCATGAAATCGGCCCTTTGCTTCACAGTGCCTTGGTGTACCTCTCCACCACAAACACGACTGTCACCAACCAACCCTTCCCATTGGGAGAACACCATGCAGAAACACATGCAGAGGAACCGCCCTGCACTGGGAACGTGCTTGGCAGTCCAAAGAGACAGCTGGGCACAGCAAAGCACAACGAGGGCAGAAGCAGCGTGCAATGAGAGCAGCTCCCTCGGTCAGGACGCTGCCCAGCCCTAATTCAGCACTCAGTTGCCTGCATCTGAACCATGGATGTGCTGGGAAAGAAAGCAAGTGTTAAAATTCCTGCTCCTGCTCTTCAGGCTTCAATCACCTTATAAGGGAAAATCATATTTATTTACTAAGGCTGTGCATCCCTGCAGCCCTCAATGGCTGCGTCAGTGACTCGCTTCCACCATCGCTCGCAGTCACACGCTCTGCACACCAACCCCTCATGGGCTGCTCCCCATGGGGCTGTTCAATCCCCCACAGCCCCAGCCTCCGTGGCCAAGAAGCAGCAAACTGCCACCAGACCCATCACTGCACGCCCTGCTGTCCCAGCCTCCCTCCCTGGTCCAGGCCCATCCATGCCTCAAAGGAGGAGGATTCTGGAGCAGCCTGAATTCCATTCACGCTGCCTCGCTCCTTCCCTGCAGCTGAGCTGTGACTTATTGACTGTGAAGGAGCTGCAGGGTCTTTCTGAGTTCAAGGCATGGGTTGTTTTTGCCTAGCTGGCTCCCCCTGCCATCATCCTATAGCACCATTTCATGGGAAAGAGGCACGTGACAACCAACTGAGCTGTGAACCATAATCGTGCTGAGGACGATGTTTACATTTGATTTTTCCTCAAGCTGATAAGCTCTCTCCAATTTCCCTCTCCATCACGTTGGTACAGATTGAGCGGCTCATGCCCCACGGGTTGGAATTCTTCTCTTATCTCTCATCTGCTCACTGGAAAAAAAAAAAAAAAAAGGCTTTCAGCAACCCTTCAGTTATCACTGCAGAGGGAAGGGCTGCGGAGCTCTGTCTGTGGCATCCAACACTGCCCCAATGCCTCTGGGGACTTGGCTGTGCCCAGCACACGCAGAGACCTCCACGCATCACTGCAGCTCCTGAAGCAGAGGGATTCAGCCCCAAAGAACATTCTGTCCCTGCTGCAAGCTGTAAGCGACACACAGGCTGCGACCCATGCAACAGGAGCCACGAGAAATGGAAACAGATTGAAACCAACTCTCAGCCCAATGGGGAATCAGGATTTCCAGACTCCACCTTTACAAGGAGAGGGAGGAGAGCGCTCTGTCTCTTCTGCTCTCACAGTTCCTACTGTGAGCCGCCAGCCATGCGACCCCCGGCTCAGATGCAGCCCCTGAGGGCAATGCTCTCCTCCCCCAGCTCCTGGGGACACCCCAGACCAAAAGCCTTCGGTGCCCACTGCACTCAGAGTTCCTCAGAACCCCCCTGCAGCTCCGAGCCCTGCACCAACACTGGTGAACAACCCCCCATGCTGCCTGCAGCTCCCTCCGAGGACCAGAGGCAGAGGGGCCAGGAAGGAGCCATTCACACACGTCAACTTTTCCAAACTCCATTTGCAGCCACGGTGATTACAAAACGTTCAAAACCTCAAGGCCTTGTTTTCACAAAGACATGGATTAGCCCTGTTTGCTCACGAGCATGCCCGGCTGGCAACACTACGCTGCTTTCCTCCTTCAAAACACACCCTGAGGGTTCCCAGAGCTCCAGAAGGGGCCCCGAGCTCAGTCCCATGGGGTCTCACTGAGCGGCAGCCTCGCTCTCTCCACCCTTCCACGTCCTGTGGGGGTCTCACTCCAATGGGGGTCCAAACAGCAACGGTGCAGGGCACGTAACGTGGAGATGCTGTGACTGGGAGTCACTGAAACAGGATGAGGTGAGCACGAGAGCCCCGTGCACAGTTCCATCTGCTGCAGCCAGCAGAGCTGATCACGATGCTGCTGCCATGCCACCAGGCCTGCGGGTTTGGCTCCTTCCAGAAAACACTCAGGGCTGCTTTACTGCTGTCTGCAGCCTTGGGAGCTCGGAGCGACACAGCTTGGGATCTGCTTAAGCGAGCAGCGTGCAGCTTGATTCAAAGAAACGACATAAACACTGAAGCATTGGTGTTGTTACCAGCTCCACTTCATCTCTGCTATCAGTGTAAGGTAAGAGCCCATAGGCTTGGGAAATGCAGGTTCACTTGTGATGGGCAGAAAAGCACCCAGCGCTGAGCTCCGGTCTCCATAGACACCTGGCTTTGGACTGAGCACCAAACAACCGCATAGAAACGCAGAGAGGGGGGGACGTACATCACAACAACGTGCCAGGGCCGAGCACAGGGACGCGGGTGTCTTCCCTGCCACGCTCCCCAGCAGCACAGCTGAGGGCTGTCAGCCCCACAAATCCTGCAGCAGAGCCTGAGGGCTGTGCAGGCAGCTGGGGGCTGCCCCACATCCACGCGATGACGTCCATGAAATAAGCACGGACCCGCTGCCAGGTTTTGGTGTAAGCGCTGCAAGGCACGGGGTGGCCGACAGACCGCAGCCCGCATCTCTCAGTGCCGCGGAGGAGCTCCGGGAGCGGACAGCCCCCCGGCCCCGCACATCCAAAGCCGGTTTTGAGACCACGAACGAACCACAGAGCGGCAGAAAGGTGCAACTCCGGCCGGCGCGGGCCGCCCCGTGCCCCCCCAGCACGGAGCCCCAGAACCACGGGCTCCGTCCGCGTGTGTGGGTACGGAGCCCCCACCCACATCCCCCATAGGGCGGAACCATTCGGGCTGGGGGGAGGAGGGGGGGGGAGGAGGGGGGGGAGGAGGGGGGGGAGCACCTGGAGCGGCCCACGCCGAACCCCGAGGGTGGCGCTGAGAGGAACCACGAGACGGAACTGGGGGGGGAGGAGGGGACACAGCCCGGAGGGACTCCGCGGGGGGACGCTACCACGTTACCTCCCGCCGCGTCCGGTTCCCCTGCGCCGGCCTCCGGGGTGATGGCGCCGGCCCCCGCCACGGCCGAGCCCTCCGCCTCCTCGGGCACCTCCAGTTCCATGGCGGCCGCCGCCAAGGGCGCGGGCAGGGCACGGCAGGCCGCCGCCGCCGCCGCCGAGCTCCTCCCGGCTCCGGCCGCCGCCGCTGAGCAGCCTGGGAACGGTGGGGACCATAGAGCGCGGGAGGCGCCGCGGCCAGACACGCCCCGGCGGCTCAGGGCGGAAGTGGGCCGCGGCCACAGCCGGAAGTGAGGTCGTCCCCTTCCGTCAGAACTAATCGCGACGCGGAATCTGAGTGTCGCGATAGTCCTCGGAACCGGGACCGAGATCGGGACCGGGATTGCGACCGGAGTGGGATGGGAGGAGCGGGGACGGGAATGGGGCCCAGCGTACCATAGAGCGGCGGAGACAGAGCGGCGCCAGCTGTGCCGGCGCGCAGAGGGCGGGACCTAAGCGTCGCTATGGCAGCGGAGCCAGGCCGTTGCCATGGCAGCGGGGCCTACTGCTGCCCCGCGGTTGGATTCCCCCTTGCCGGGCCCGGTGCATCGGAGCCGCGCTGAGACCGCCGGGGTCGCTCCGTGCCGTGGAGCCGCTCCCCCTCTCGGTTCCAAAGCCCCGCTCGGCCCCACCGCATCCTGTGGCCCCAGGCCGAGCCCCGCGCCCTCCGGCCGTCGGCGCCACCTAGCGGCGGCTGGGCCCTGCGAGAGGCTGCGGCGGGCAGCCCCCGGCCCGTGACGTCTCGCCCCGAACACGGCGTGGCTCAGGGGACGGCCGTGGCTGCCCCGGGCTGTGAAACCCGCCCGGCAATGGGCCGCATTCCCCGCCAGCCCTAATGATGCTGCTCGGCCGCCCCGCCGTGCCCCCGAGGGGCCTGGGCCGCGTCCCTGCGAGGGAGGGGACCGGGAGGGGACCGTCCGAGCTGCCCCGTCCTCCTCCGAGACGAGCGGCGAGCGGCGGCACTCGGACGGGGACGTCGCCATGTCCCCAACCCCGGGGTGGCCGCTGGTGGCGGGGGGATTCCGGAGGAATTGGTCCCCCCGCGATGCCCTGGCACGGGGCCTCGGCCCGCTGCAGCCCCACGGGAACCAAACGCAGACTGCTGGAGCCGGGAGCTGCTGCGTGGAGCTGATCTCGGTGGCTGGAATCCCACCCGGCGGCAGGAGGAAGGGCCCCGGGCCCGTAGCGAGGTGGGGGCCCGGCAGAAGGGATGGGGAGGAAGGCAGGTGGCAGCTGCCGCTGGGGGGCAGGGGGGTCACATTTTCTCCAATGTGGCCCCCCAGCATTGGTGCTGAGGGTGAGCTGGCAGCTGGCAGCGTCCCTGCGCCCTTTGGGGCCTGAGGCACCCATGGGTGCTCCAGGCAGCACAGGTGGCACAGAACGCCGTGCAGTACCCCATCCTCAGACACTGCTACCCCGTGTCCCCAGGTGCCCTGTCTCTATCTGGGGCTGAGAATGGGAGCAGATGTGGCTGAGCCACTAGCCTGGGGGAGTAGCAGAGACAGCTCCCCCCCGGGATTTCCACTGTGCTGCTGGAGCTGCCCAGGGACCCTTGGCTCCTGTTGTCTCCCTCCTGCAGGCAGCGTCTGGCCCACAAAGGGTTACGCAAGGCAGCACCCAGGAGTGTCACCGCTGCCACCAGCCCTGGCGCTCAGCTCCTTCCTGGTCACATTCAGCCGCGGGGGACGAGCCACAACACGGTGAGTGCTGGGGAAGTGGGACACAGCTATGGGCTGCCTGTGCCCAGCAGCCCCAGGAGAGGGTCCGAGGACCCTCCTGGAGCTCTGCCCCAACCACGGGGACAGATTGGGAAGAGAAGCCCCAGGGCACTTTGGATGTTGGTGGGGAGACCTGGGCAGGGTGTGCCCTCCTTGGGGTGCTGTGGCTACAAGCTGTGTGGGCTTGAGGATGCAGGGCTGGAACCCTGTCATTGTGGCTCCGCACCCCAGCCCGGAGGCCATGCCTCCATTCCACCTTTGTACACCCAGCTGGGGCAGCTCCCAGCACCAGGGCAGGATCAGGATCAGCTCTGGGATGCAGCTGGGGCTCGGTCGGGTGCTGGGGGGCTGCTGTTGGGGCTGGAACCTCAGCGATGCCTTCCTGCATGGCTGATGCTAGACAAGGGACGGGTGGCTTGGCAGAACTGGGTAGGCTGCGGGGGGCATCTCAATGTGAGTGGGGCACGTGGGGCTCCTGGTGCATTGGGCTGGACCATGGTCTGCTCAGCCCAGATACTGCCTTCCTCGGTGGGGCCACTTTGGGTGCGGGTTGGTTTCTGTCAGGAACCGGCTGAGCCGGCTTCTCTGGCTGCCAGTCTCGGCCTTCAGCTCGAGGCAGGGCCCCCGGGGAGGCTGAGGGCAGAATGGGGGCTTGGTGTCCCCATGGGCAATTCCCGGAGAGAGGGAGCTGCCTGTTGTCCCACTGTCCCTTCACCCCCACAAGGGCAGAGAGCTGCGGGATGCAAACATGAGGTCAGTTTACCACGTCCTAGTGATGGGTAGGAGATACAGTTTGGGGTCCACTGAAGCTGTGGCTCCCTGTGGGTGGTGCTGGGGCTGGTTTCGATGACCGGTGATGTTGGGTGTTGTGGGCCGGCCTCCTGGACTCTGCCCCGTGCTCTCAGCCTGGCTTATTCCCAGGATCAGGTGAATGATTGCATCACTCTGCTTGTTACTCTGTGCTGGCATTTTGGGGCTCTTTTGGTGTGTCTGGGGCAGCATGCTTGCCCTGAGCTCTGCCCTCTTTGGAGTTGTGTCCACACTCACTGTGACCCCAGGGACAGGTATTTCCTATGGGCATCAGCATTCATTTTGGGTGCCTGTGGACCCACTGGTGCTGTGCTGCGGTTCTCATGTGGGGCCGTGGGGTTTCCAGCCCCAGTTGTCAATGTGAGCGGGCTCACGGGGGCCCAGAGGTGGTGAGCTGTACTGGGGCCCAGAGCAACACTTTGGCCCCTGGCAGCACCATGCTGCAGCCCCCAGGCAGCACAGGGACCTGTGGGTGGCACAGGACAGGCACACAGGCAGCAGGGCCAGAGCTGGAGGCTGCTGCCATGATGGATGGGACGATGGACAGTGGGAGCCCTGAGAGGTCTGCTATGGCAGAAGCATTGACCAACAAGAGCCCTGGCAGATCTGCTATGGCAGAACCAGCGGTCAATGGGAGTCTTTGTAGATCTGCTATGGCAGAACCAGAGGGTAATGGGAACCCTAAGAAATCTGTTGAGGGAAGGGCAGCGGCCATTCTGAGCCCTTGGAGATCTGCCATGGCAGAACCAGTGGCCAACGGGAGTCTTTGTAGATCTGTTACAGCAGAACCAGTGGGTAACGGGAGCCCCGGGAGATCTGTTACGAGAGAGGCAGCGGCCGTTCAGAGCCCTGAGCGATTTGCTGCGGCAGCCCCACTGACCCCGTGCCGTGCCGTGCCGTGCCGCACCACGCTGCGCCGTGCCAACAGGGAGCGCAGATCCCCTGTCACCTGCGGTGCCCGCCCAGCCCCACGTGGGCACGCCCCGAGGCGGCGGGGTGCGGCGGAGGCGGGCTGTGCCAAGCCGTGACCGTGCGTGCCGAGCCGTGCCGAGCCGTGCCGTGCTGCGGGTGCCGAGCCGAGCCGTGGGTGCAGCGGCCACCTGCCGAGGGCCCCGTGCCGCAGCATGGCCGTGCGGTTCCAGGTGCGCTGCTCGCCCGGAGGGGAATGGGAGATCCTGGGAAGGCTGCGGGGAGGTCACCGAGGTGGGCTCGGGGCCGGGGGGCAGAGGCGGCCCTGTCCTGCGCGGTTGCTGGCTGCGGGGAGCAGGCGGGAGCCGGGCGGCGGTGGCACCGCACGGAGCTGCCGGCTGTCCGTTCCCTGCCGCGCTGCACGACGGCGTTACAATCTCACCGCGATTTCCTTGGCTGTGGTTGATCCATCACGGCGTCGCCCGGTTTGTTTTTCCGTGCCCAGATGACCCTTGAGATAGAGGCTGTAAAACAGCCGCGGGAGCCACCGCCCCACGGCAGCTTCCGCGGTCTCTCCAGCTTTGTTTGCAGGATTTTCCCCTCCTGGTGCACAGATTCTGTGCCTCTCCAGGGTGCTGGGAGCTGCTGGAGGGGATCCCGATCCCACACCCTGTGCAGGGCTGTGCTTCAGCCTGCACGTGCATCCCAGTGAGGTTTCTGTCCTAAGTGGAAACTGTTGGCTTTGGAGAAAACCAAAGGGCGAAGCCAGGTGCAGTGGTCAGCAGAGCCACCAGCTCTGTGGTCACACCAGGGCCTGAGCTGAGCAGCTGGAAGGGCGTGGGAACACCGTCAGAGGCAGCACTGGGGGCTGCTGGCTGCTGGGGCAGGGAGGGCAGTGGGGACACGGCGATGGCAGCTGGCAGGTGCCCCATCCGCAGCACCCTCGTATCCCCAGTGCCTGTGGCTCGGCTGATGCTGAAAGCCCTTGCTTCGACTCTGCCTTGCAGCGCAAAGCAGGACAGAGGAAGGGGCTGGTGGCTGCACAAAAGAGCCGGAGCCGATCTGTGCCCCCGGCCCCTGAGCTGCAGCCGAGGCACCGCTCAGCCTCAGCACTCACCCTCCCTCACTTGCGTTGGCAGGTGGCTGCCATGGAGGAGATGCTGATCTGGGAGCAGCACACGGTGACGCTGAGCAAGGTGAGCGTGGCTGAGGTGGCCGTGGGATGGCGGTGTTGGGGACAGGCTGTGAGCTCCTCTCTGCCCCTCCCTTCTAGGACCCTCATCGGGGCTTCGGTTTTGCCGTTTCGGGTGGCCGGGACCATCCCAACAAGGTGACTGGGGACACGGCGGTCATTGTCTCAGATGTGGTGTCCAGGGGACCGGCGTTTGGCCAGCTTCAGTGAGTTCACGGGGATGTGGGGGTGCAGTGGGGTCATCGCTGCCGGCAGGGACCGGAAGGAGAGCAAATTGCTGCTACAACCCCATGCAGAGCCACGGCTGCCTTTCCCTCACAGGAGGAGGGATCAAATCGTGATGGTGAACGGCCTTTCCATGGAGAATGTCTCATCCTCCTTCGCCATCCAGACAATTAAGTCCTGCGGCAAGATCGCCAACATTGTGAGTGTGCCCTGCAGTGGGACGGCTCTGTGCTCGTCCCTGTGTCCCTGTGTCCCTGTGTCCCTGTGTCCCTGTGTCCCTGTGTCCCTGTGTCTGTTTGCAGGGTGCACGGTGGCTCTGGGCAAAGCTCCTGTTGCTGCACATTTCTCTGCCACCTCAGAGTACCCATGGTTTGTATTCTGGGCTGGGAAATCGCCTCATCTGCATCCCTTCCTTCTTTCTTTCCACTTGCAGACACTGAAAAGACAAAAGAAAATCCACCTCCCCGCGAGCAAAAGCAGCCCCGCATCCCCTGCTGTGACCCGGCGCTACGACTCAGACGAGGACTACGACCCTCGTGGTGGGGATCCGGCCCTGCGCAGCGCCAGCCAGCACCGCTCCCGAGATGACCTGGACCACAACCAGGGCTACGACGGGGACTCGTCCAGCGACAGGAGCTCTGGTCATCACCAGGACGACCGCCGCCACTGCAAGTCGTCCCGCAGCCGGAGGCGAAGCCAGGACAGCAGCCACTGGAGGCGGAGCCCCGACAGCGGCTCGGAGCACAGGGGTTACAGCCGGCACCGCTCCGCCAACGGCTTCGGCCCCGAAGGGGGCACCAACGGGCTGGCACTGGTGTCGGGGTTCAAACGGTTGCCGCGCCAGGATGTGCCGACGAAACCCATCACATCAGTGCTGGTGAAGAAGAAGGAGGATGAAGGTAGGGCCTGCTCGCTCCCTGCGTGCCTGGGCTTTGTCTGGTCGGTGGCTGCGTGTCCCCGAAGTGAGGCTCTGGCATGCAGCACTGGGGCAGCGTGTGCTGTGCTGCAGGCACTGAGCCTGCTGGCCTCAATGCAGGGTGTCACAGCTCGGCTCTGGGGCTTGCTGATGGCCTGATGGGAGCTGGAGTGTGCTTGTGGGGTGGTGGCGAGGGGGAACTTTGAGGGGGTCCCGCTTCTGCCCAGCCCCAGCACTGCCGCAGGTTCTCTGATGCAGAGTACGGCCTGAAGCTGGGCAGCCAGCTCTTCATCAAACACATAGTGGAGAGCGGGCTGGCGGCGAGGCGCAGCTCCTTGCAGGAGGGAGACCTCATCCTGAAGGTATGGAGCAACAAGGATTGCACAGCACTTGGAGGGACTCAGTATCTCTCTTTTGGTTGTCTTTTTGCTGGCTTGTGTCACTGCAGGGGACAAGCTGAGGGTGTGTTAGGTTGGCTGTGGGGGACCAGCTGGACTGGAGGCAGCTCTGCCTGGGGCACATATCCTGCCTTGCTCCCTGGCCACCCCTTGGCACTGCACACGGGCTCTTGGGCTCTTGGGGACCAGCTCCACTTGGTGCCAGGGGCAGCAGCTTGTCACCTCCACCCTCCCATGCCCGTGGCACCAGTCCTGTGCTGTGTGTGGGTGTCCCTGCTGGGGGAGCAGCCGACAAGCAGTTTGGTGCATGACGAGGTGTCTGGGGCACGACAGGTGAAACGATGCTCGAGGTGTCTGGGGAGGATAAAACGGAAGAACGGAGGCTGGTTTGCAGGCGCGGGGAAGGGACCTGGGAATGCTGCGGTGGGAGCAGCTCTGTGTGATCAGGGTTTTCCTGGGGTGCCTTTCCCAGGAGCGAGCACCCTGAGGCCTTCCTGCTCTGCCCCTCCAGATCAACGGGGTGGCCAGCAAGGACATGTCCCTGGCTGACACCCAGCGGCTCATTGAGCAGACGGAGGGGATCCTGACCCTGCTCGTCCTCCGGGACCACCGGCAGTTCCTGATCAACATCCCCAACATGGAAGACTACCAGAGCGACAGCTCCCGGATGGACGGTGAGGGGACAGAGTGGCAGTACTGGGGTCCCACTGCGCAGCGTGGGGACTGGATGGGCACCGATGCCTCTCGCTTTCTGTCACTGCAGATATCTCCGACATCGACTCTGACCTGTCCCACCCACCATCCCCTAAGACCTCCCCACAACTTCCAGCTGCTGCCAGGATGAATTCACCAGGGTAAGCCATGCAATGTCCCCATCCCCATGTCCCTGTGAGCCCTCCTTTTTTCCTCCATGCTCTCTGCCTGTCTGGACGGCCTCCTCTATGCTGGAGCCAGCTCACTGGAGGTGGCTGTGCATTTTGGGCCCCATCTTGCCCATGCTGATCAAACCCTCATCTCCTCGCCCTCCTTAAATCCTGCCCTGACTCTGTTCCAGAGAGAGGAGACGATCAAGCAGGAGTTCTGCAACCAACACAAACATGGACGATGCCCTGGGCCGTGGTGAGTGACTCAGATCGGCCTAGGGGGAGCTGAGGGCTCTGAGCAGGCCCCAGGCTCCTCCGTATCCCCACTCCCATCCCACCAGCTCTCCCTGTGTCTCTGTGGTCTGGGGAAGCACACAGACACCAGCATTTCCTGAACCAGCTCTCCTTCCCTGCAGACATGCTGGAAGCTGTGGAACAGGATGGCCACCACAGCCCCCGCAGCAGACCCAGTGCCCAAGCTGACCCCAGGGATGGGTGAGTCTCTGCAAGAGGTGGAGGGAAGGGCTGAGCAGAGAGGGATCTGCCCCAAGGCAGCTCCAGGGCTGGGGCTTCAGCACTGGTGACCACCAGCACACCACCATGCTGACTGCAGCCTCCACTGGGCAGGTACAGTCCTGACTCCAGAGTTGTGCAGTTTGTGAAGGCCAGGAGCGTGGGGCTGCAGCTGGCTGGTGGGAACAATGTGGGCATCTTCGTGTCGAGCGTGCAGGAGGGGAGCCCAGCCGACAGCCAGGACATCGAGGAAGGGGACCAGATCCTGCAGGTACCTGGGAGTAGGAGTGGCACCGAATGCTTTAGTGCCTGGTTTGTCCCTGTCCCTTCTGTGCCCAATACCCCTCATGCTGTTTGGATTTCTCCCACTGGGCATCATTTTGAGGTAGTGTTGGTAGGGGATGGTCCTGTCCCCAGCACTGTGCTAACACCCAGCAGGGTCCAGGTGCCAGAGGAGCCGTCTCCAGGATCACCCAGGGGTTGTGGCAGGCATTTGGGTAGCAGGGGCCAGTTCCCCCTCTTACCCCAGGGCCCCCTGCCCTGAGTTCACCTTGGAAGCCGTGCCCTCCATCCCACTGGTGGGACACATCGGAGTGCTTTCCCACGCAGGTGAACAGCACCAGTTTCCAGAACCTGACCCGTGAGGAGGCAGTGCAGTGCCTCATGAAGATCCCGCCGGGTGAGGACGTCACTTTGTGGATCCAGAGCAAGCAGGACAGTGAGTGATGGCTGGTGACTTCCTGGGCTCATGTCTCTCCATCTCAGTTCTGAGTGAGCATCGGACTGCTCAGCTCCCCACAACTCTTTCTGCCCCACAATGCGGTCCTTCTTCCCCACGCCATCCTCCTCTCCCCCTGAGAGGTGATGGGAGAGCACTGGATGACCCTGGAGAACCATCTGTGCGATGGCATCCTGGAGCAGGGGGGTTTCTGGCTCTGTGGATCGGCTTGAAATGGCCACTGTGTGCTGTGGGGCCGAGTCCCACTGTCCCCAGTGTGCCCAAGAGCACCACGTGTAGACAAGGTGTCCCCAGAGCCTCCTTGGCACCGAGGGCTGCTGTGGTAGATCGCACCCAGCCCAGCACATTCCTCCACGCCCAATTCCTCCTCTACCCGCTCTTCCCTTGTGCTCACTCTCACCCCGGGCTCCAGTTTACAGGAAGATGATCTCCTCCAACATGCGCGATTCCTTCTACATCCGGACGCATTTTGACTATGAGAAGGACACGCCGTCGGGGCTCAGCTTTGCCCGTGGGGACGTCTTCCATGTGCTGGACACCATGTACCGCGGCAGGCTGGGGCACTGGCTGGCTGTGCGCATGGGCAGGGACCTGCAGGAGCAGGAAAAGGGCATCATCCCCAACCAGAGCAGGTAGGGAAAGAGCCAGGAATGGCCCCGCTGGGGGCAGAAGCAGGGGATGGCTTCCTAGTGATACAGGGATGTGGGCGCTGGGCCCAGTAAGAGCTGGGCCAGGGCTGAAGGGTGGTGGTGGGAAGTGTGAGCTGGTGAAACGCCTTCCTGGTGCCTGGGGTGGGGTTGTTGATGCTGTGGTTGACAGAGGTCCCGGAGGGGCTTTCCAGCCTGAATCGGCCCTGCCACCAAGTGGGGACCTTGACTCCTGCCCGACTCCTTGGATGGAAGGAGCAAATCCAGAGGCTGCAGATCTTGAGCCCTTTCCCTTCCCAGGGCCGAGCAGTTTGCCAGCCTGGAGTCCGTGCAGAAAGGCACACCTGGCACCAACCCGCTGGGGGCACGGGCTGAGTTTTGGAAGCTGCGGGGCCTGCGGGGAGCCAAGAAGATGTTGCGGAAGAGCCGTGAGGACCTCTCTGCTCTCACAAAGCAGGGCCACTACCCCCCATATGAGAGGGTGGTTCTGAAGGAAGGTGGGTTGCCTGACCCACCCAGGGTCCTCAGCCCTGGGGCTGCCCAGCCCAGCCCCCCTGAGCTGCTCTGTCTTCTCCCCACAGCCAGTTTCAAGCGGCCGGTGGTGATCCTGGGCCCCATCACAGACATTGCCATGCAGAAACTGAGCATGGAACAGCCCGAGCTCTTTGAGATTGCACGTAAGTCCCCTCCACAGTGGGGGTGAATTTTGCTTAGCAGCTGAACGTTGGTGTAGGTGGCTTTGGGAGCTTTTTACTCTGTCCTGATCCTTCCTTGTGACCACTCCATGACACCCCAGCACCCTCTTGGACTCAGGCACCCCCTCCCCACACACCGTGAGGCAAGCCAGGTCCCAGACAGCCCCCATGGAGGCACACGGCCCTGGGGCCTGACATGGCCAGACCCACAGGGATGGCACAACTGCCCCAGCCCCTCTCAAACCCTGTTGTCTTCTCCTGCAGCGAGTGTGCCACGAGATGGGGCGTCGTCTAAGGTCATCAAGCTGGATTCGGTGCGGCAGATTGCTGAAAAGGTGAGAGCTTGCAAGACTTTCCCCGTGTGCTGGCAGCCAGGTGGGTGACCCTGCCCCCAGCAGGGCTGAGCGCTGGTGCCCTGCCCCAGGACAAGCACGCACTGCTGGACATCACGCCCTCGGCGGTGGAGCGCCTCAACTACGTGCAGTACTACCCTGTGGTGGTGTTCTGCGAGCCCGAGAGCCGGCAGGGCATCAAGGCCATGCGGCAGTGGCTGGCACCTGACTCCAGGAAGAGCTCCCGGCGCCTCTACACCCAGGCCAGCAAGATGAAGAAATACTGCAGCCACCTCTTCACAGCTACCATCACCCTCAGCGGCAGCGGCAACTCCTGGTATGAGGAGATCAAGAGCATCATCAGGAAGCAGCAGAGCCAGCCCATCTGGACGGCAGCAGAGCACGTATGGGGCAAAGGCTGAGCCCTGCAGGGGCCGCACAGGGCTACGTCCGCCCTCTTGGTGCCCAGAGACCCGGGGTCTTCATTGTCCCCATCCGCAGGTGGATGCGGCGCTGGAGGACAGCCTGGAGCTGCTGAACCCTCCCAGCAGGGCGGCCTCAGGCTACCTGACTTGCGACAGCCACGCCAACAGCGACTACGATGACACGGATGGTGAGGGGGGCGCCTACACCGACGGCGAGGCGGAGGATGCCTACGGCCATCCTGCACTGTCCCGCTCCTCTGAGCCGGCGCAGACGTACCACAGTCACGATGTGAGTGAGCAGGTGGGTCCCCCGCAGCAGTACGAGGGGCACAGAACCGGCCACAGGGGGCGATTCCTATCCCCTGTGGCCCTGGCAGGAGGGCTGTCACCTCTAATGTCTGCAGGTCCGGTGTTGGTGCCTTGCCCACCTTGCCCTAGGCGAACGCAGCCCAGTCTCCAGCTGGGGCACAATTCTTGCCTGCCCCCCTCACATCTACCTGTTTGTTCACAGGTGACGGAGCATCAGGGACAGTGGGCGCAGGAACACCTCAGGTACGCTGCGTGCCGGGGCCAGCTCTGCGCAGCCTCACCCTGCGTGGCAGCGACTGCCTCCATCGATCAGTCCCAGACGTCACTGCAGCATTTCCTCCTGCAGGGATTACGAGCGCGAGGCTGTGAGGAAGAGATTCACACAAGCCAGGGATGACTCAGATGAGGACGAAGGCTACGAGTGGGGCCCGGCTACAGATGTGTAGTGAGATCGATGTCTGCGCACGACCCCTGAGCATCACTGTGCATCTCTGCCCCGCAGGGCCCCTCAGTCCTACCGCAGCTCCGTGCCACCAGGGTTGGGTGACAGCCCTGGCAGTGCCACGCAACACCCCCCAGCTGTGCGGGCTGTGCCTGCGCCACCAAGTGCCTCCTTCCCCTGCTTCATCCACTGCCTCAGGATGAAATAAAGGGGACGTTTTGAGTAGGATGGGCTGCTGCTGTGTGTGTTGTGTGACAGCATGCAGGGCAGAGAGAGATGCAGCAGGGCAGCCTTGCTGGGATCCACACCCCCTCCATGGCCAGGGCCCTCAGCCTTCTGCTTGTAAGCACCAGCGCAGGACCCTCCTGAGGGCAGCAGCCTCGGGCTGATGTCTGGCACTGCACTGGGCTCAGGGCTGCATCCCTTGAGCTGAGCTTCCTCAGCTGCAGCCCAGCAGGGTGAGATGCAGCCTTCAGCATTGCCCCAAACTTTTATTTTGTACATCAACCAACCACACAGGCAAAGTTGTGACAGGCCACCTTGGGCAAAGGGTCCCAGCTGTCCCCTTGTGAACAATGCATCCCCACGGAGCCCTCAGCTGCAGGCAGGTCTGTGGGGTTCACATCCCCAAGCTCTGTGAGACGTGGCAACGCCGTGTTCCCTTTGGATGCACAAAGGAACAGCCCTGAGGGGTACCACTGTGCACGCAGAACGGTTCAAGGCAGTGCTGAGGAAGCAGAGGTAGTTTCCCAGCTCAGTGCAACAGGGCCAACAAGGTGTTGTTTGCAGCCCAGCAGGCCCCTGGCAAAGCTGGGGAGGAGGAGCAGGTGCTGAGGGTGCTGCTGCCCTTAAGGCTGAGTCTGGGGGCTGCTGGCTCTCCCTTGGGGTGCCAGTGTACACCCACACCTCAGGGTGCAGGGGCAGAGCTGCTCAGGTTTGCCTGGGATGAGCCCCTGGAGCACAGTTCCAGCCCCACCTGGGAAAAGGCACCTTTGGTGAGTGTGAAAGCACGATCCGTAGTGATGGAAAAAGGGGCGGCCTTTCATGCAGGGTCCCCTCTCCCCTGCCAGCACCAGGCCAAGGCGAGGGACTTTAAGGAGCAGAGGGCAGCACTGCGCAGGCACTGAGGCAGAGAGGGGTGAATGGATGTGGAGAAGGGTCGCTGCGGGCCCTAACACTGTTCAAGCTGAGCATTGGCCCACAGCCTCCTGTCGCGTCCTGAGTCCAACTGAAAGTGAGCAGGATGAGGCCCTGCGGGGGCCAGAGGGCTCTGGTGGCAGCGCAGGGGCAGCAGGCAGAGCGGTGGCCCCCAGGGGCGTGCAGTGACAGCTGGGCCCAGGCAGCACTCAGAGGAAGACAGGCTGCTCCTGCCCCGTCAGCAGGCGGTACGTGGAGGCTGGCATGGTCTTGATGTGGACCTGCACAGAGACGCTCAGATCAGCTGGGAGATGGCAGCTCCAGGCTGGAGGCTGTGAGGGCGAGGACCCCGAGCCCGGCCTGCGCCGTCTGCAGCCATGGGAGCACAGGGCCAGGCGCCCACCCTGCTGCTCTGCTCACCTCGCTGACCGCCTGCGTGAGGATCTGGATGATCTTCTCGTGAGGTGTGGCCACCACGCTCTGCCCGTTGATCTCGATGATGCGGTGCCCCACGCGGATGCCGCCCTTCTCAGCGATGCCCCCGCGCATCAGGCTGCAGATCTGGGGAGCAAGGAATGCTGGTGAGCCGCGCTCACGCCCCACAGCCGTGTACAACCACCGCCCTGAGCCCTGCTTCTCCAGCAAGGACTGCGACAAATGTCACCAAGGACACGCCAAGGGAGCCAGGAGGAAACCACCACCCCCAAAGCAAACAGTTGAGGAGCACCAAGGAGACAAACCCAAACAACAGCACTGTGGGAGAGCAATGAGGAACCTTCCACCATGGCACAGAGCCCTGTGAAACCTCAGAAACTATCAGTGCTGAAGGCTTGTCTGCGCAGGCACAGCCAGGGCTGCAAGTCCCTCTGCCAGGCAGGTGGAAGAAACCCCAGGCAGCCCTGGCTCTGCTCCCACCCCACAGCACTCACCACACCGTTCTCCACGCAGAAGCCCAGCTGGTACTTGGAGTCGGGGCGCCGGATGACAGCTGTGGTGACGGGGGAGCAGTGCACTATGTTCAGCATCACCTCTGTCTGGTGCTTCAGCTCCTGGAAAGCAAGGGGGGATGTGTCAGACTCAGGAGAGTCACTTGGAGGGGTTGAGAGAGGACAGAGCTGTGTTGCTCAAGGGAAGGCTGAGGATCAGCACGGGACAGGTACAGGCCCTCCTGCCCCTCTGCCCCACCGTCACTGACACCCAAGACACCACCAAGCTGTTTCCCATCTCTAGCAGAGCAGGGAGCCCCCCAGGCCCGGCCCCAGCTCACCCGGATGATGCTCTGGCAGGTGGTGAGGGGCAGCCCCACCAGGCTCGTCCCATTGATGGACATGAGGCGGTCCCCGATGCTCAGCTCACCCGACCTCTCTGCAGGGCCCCCGTGCATCAGGTTGGCGATGACAACGGTGGGCAGGATGGAGCCCCAGCCCGACTCCACGATGGCGATGCCCAGAATCTCCCCCTTCTGCTTCCGGATGCAAACCTGAGGAGGGGGGACCGGGACGGGGAGCTGGGGTGTGTGCCACATCCCCTGCACAGGGGTACTGGGCTCAGAGCGAGCTGGGATAGGGCCTAGGTTGGTAGGGATCATCTCAGCCTCTCAGTGGGGACCCCACGCTGTCCCCACCCCTCCAAAGCAGCTCTTACATCCTTGCAGTTCTCCTGCCGGGAGAAGTGGGTCAGCTCTGCATTGTGCTGCTCCTGGTCCTCAAGGGCACGGCTGTACTGGCGAGGGCTCAGCTCACTTGGGTCGATGCTGTTGGCCTCCAGGAAGCGCTGGTAGGCCACACCAAATGCCTGCCCGATGGCCTGAGCGATGATCTGGGCCTGGGGACAGACAGGGGACATTTGTGCTCAGGGCCACGGCCTGACCGCCAAACTGGTCCCAGCAACTCAGTCCCAGGTCAAACAGGTCCCAGTCCAGCACAGACGGCCTGGGAGCTGCAGGGCACCCTGCCCCTTCCTGCCCCTTCCCAGTACCACACCCCTCCTTTTCTCACTGGGCCACTCTACACAGCAGAGCTGCCCGGGCTCCCACTCTTTGTGCCCCAGCACAGCGATGCCAAGCTGTCCTGCAGCAGGATGGGTCCAGGAGCCCCCAGCAGCCCGCCCTCCCTCAGGGCTCGCTCCCACTCACATCAGCCGAGTGGAAGACGTGGCAGATCATCTTGTAGAGCCGCTTCTCCTCCGCCGCCTCTGCCCTCCGAGGCAGCTTGCGGCGTGCCATGAGCACCACCAGGGAGCCGATGTCGGCGATGTAGGAGATGGTCTGCAGGGAGTGATCCATCATGGCCTCCTGGCAAGGGAACACAGCACAGACCTTCAGCCCTCCCCTCCATGCAGCACACGAGCCAGCTGGGCGCTGCTGCACACCAGGGGGATGCAGGCTCACTGGTTCAGATCCCACTCTGCCAGAGTGGCATCGCTCTGAGTGACAGCTCCTCCCAGCTGCTGCTGCCCCGGCCATCCCTGGGCACAACCCCCCATCACGGCAGGCAGAGAAGATCCCACAGCCAACAGGAAGGTCCCAGCAGCCCCAGGGCCATGCAGGCACAATCCCTGCTCACCTGTGTGTCAGCTGTCAGCACCTTGATCCTCTGCGTGGAGACAAACAGATCCACCTCTGTCATGGGTTGGGATTCTCCCTCTGGTGCCTGCAGAGCAAAGCAGCTCAATGAAGTCACTGCTGGGTCCCTGCCCTGCAACAAAATGCTGCCCAGCACCCGCAGGAGGTCAGGACGTGCCCCTCCCTGCACCTTGATTCTGTCCACAGCCTCCTGTGCCTGTGCCATGCGGACGCTGGTAGGAGGGTTCCTCTCTGAAACCAGCTGTGTGGAGCCCAGGTACTTTGCCCCAAAAATCACACCGTCCAGCAGATCCTCTGGGTCACAGGGGCCTGGAACTGAGAGACTGGGAGGGCTAAAGCAGGGGCTGGTTTCCTCGTGCCACCTGTTAGCTGTGCTCCTGTATGTGAGGAAGTGGCTCAGCGCTCGAGAGATGTGCTCCTGGCATAACAGAGGAACCAATGCTGACCTTGGGCTGCAACCCCTTCCCCTGGAGAGCCCCCTTGGGCTGTCTCCCCTTCCTCTAGAGAGCCCTCCTTTTTCTCTTCCCAAACCTGGGCACCCCACAGGATTCCTGAAGCTTCTTCATGCCCAGCTGTGCACAAACTGTGAGCAAACCAGCCACCCCAAGTCTGCAGCCACGTTTTCCAATAAGCGGCAGCAATGTCTCTGCCCTGGGAGACTCTTCTGGGTGCAGAGCTGGACTCCCCCAGGCACCCCAATGCTCAGGTCAGAGCAGGCAGTGGTGGGTTAAGACTCCCAGTTCAAGCAGAGAAACAACTCACCTTCTTTGAAGGCCAGGCAGGAGGAGGGGGATTCCTTGTTCTGCAAAGCAACAGAAGGGTGAAGCACTGGCTGGGAGCCTGGGGAGCACCAGAGGAGCAAGGGCACAGGGTGCCAGGGCTGTGAGGCTGTTTAGACCCACTGGCTTCCCCCCACAGTCAGACAGGCACAACCCTCCCCTCACAGTCAGGACAGCATGGCCCAGAGCAAGTAAGGGTGCTCTCCCCTAGTGCCACAATGTCCCACAAGACCCAGGGAAACGCCGCCCCTCACTCCCCCCTGCCCAAAAAGTCCCCCAAGGAAGGAGAGCGAAGGGGACCACGGCCGTGCGCCTGCACTCACGGTCACACTGCTTTGTGGTGGCCGCTTCTTCTCTGGGGTCACAGCAGGAGACAATCCTGCCCAGGCTGGCTCTGGCGAGCTGTCTCGACTGCCCTCGCAGGTGGGTTTGTCCTCACTGAGCCCATCTCCACAAATCCAGCCTCCAGAAGGTCTTTCCTCCAAACCACCCGGCCCATCAGCAGCAGTGCGTTCCTCAGGCGTCTGCAGCATCTCCAGCTTGGTCCCGGTCAGGAGTTCAGAGCGGGTCAGGGGTGTCTCAGTGTTGGCCTCGGGCACCTCCCCCTCGTAGCACAGGAGGTTCAGCAGGTCCTCCCGGTCGGCCTCAGCAAAGAGCAAGCCGTGGCAGGGCCGCGAGCGGGCTGAGTGCTGCGCACAGCAGGGATGCACAGCCAGGCCCCTGCCTGTGGCCACATGCAGCGGGCAGGGCTGGCACTCACCCCGGCACTCTGCATAGCCCCGCTTGCCTGCCACAGGGGCCGTGTCAGGGGCGTTGCACAGACTGGGGCTGAGGGTCTCCAGCTGGGCCAGCAGACCCTGCATCTCCGAGGGCTCCTCCTCAGGCGCCTCGTCCAGCTCCATGGTGCCACTGCTGGGGGTGCGGGGGGGTCCCGTATCCCGGGAGGTGCTCCCAGCTCTCGGCCTCCAGTCCGTGGGGCCCCGTGGTCCAGTGGTCACCACCTCCTCTTCCATCTCTCTTCCTGAGTTCCTGCAAAGCCCGCTTTGTTCATCCCCGCCGTTAAGGTTCATGGCTGAAGCAGGCCCCAATCCAGGCTCCGGACTCCTCTGCTGATCTACAGCCGTGCTGCTGAAGGTGGGCCCCTCCAGCTGCCCGTCGGCTGCAGTGGGTCGGGAGGCACCGCGCTGCCCTTCTTCTGTGTCCATGGCTGGCAGATCGGGGGCCGGCTGGAAATCCATGGCGCTCTCCATAGGGAACAGGCAGGCCGGGGGGAGACGGGGAAGGAGCACGGGGGAGGGCAGGCATAGGGGAGGGAAAGGGGGGGGAACGAGGGGCCAGAAAGCGGGCGGTGGGGGGTCAAGGTGGGAGCAGAGAGGGGTCAGGAAGGGGGCACAGGGGGGGCGCACAGCCGTGCTCGCGGGGCGGGTCGCAAAGGGTCACGAAGGGGCCGCAGGGCAGCTTGGGGGGGGCCTGAGGAAGGGCCGCAGAGGAACACACGGGGTTCCAGGGCCGGGGTTCCCGTCGTCCCTCCAGCCGCCACTCGCTGCCTGGAGGCGCCGCGGTCCGGCCGGGCCCAAGCGGCACGGAACGGGTCAGGATGGGACTTACGGAGCGGGCCGACCCCGCGGCGACTTCCGGGCGCCACCACCCCCCCACTTCCGGGCGCGGCCGCGTCCACTTCCGGGCTCGCTCAGCAGCCACTTCCGGGCGCGGCCGCCGCGCATGCGCGCTCCGCAGTTGTCCCGGCGTGTCCCGCGGCCGCCATGGCCGCCCGGCTGCTGCTGAGGGCGGTGAGCGCCGTGCGGCCCGGCCCGGCCCGCGGCTACGCCAAGAAACCGGGTGAGGCCGGGATGGACCTGCAGCCCGGGCCCCGGGCCCCGGACCCCGATCCCAGTCCCGTTCCTGTGTCCCGACTGGGCCCTGCCCCGTGTCCCGTTCCCATCTCCCAGCCGGGTCCCGTTACAGAGCCCCATCCCCGCGTCTCGTTCCTGGGTCCTGTTCCCGGATCCCGATCCCGTGTTGTAGTCGGGTCCTTTTCCCACAGCCTGTGCCCACGTCCCATCCCGTGCCCCATTCCCGTGTCCCAGTTGGGTCCCATTCCCATGTCATGTACCCGTATTCTATTCCCATATCCCATTCTGTGACCCAGTTGGGTCCTTTTTCCCCACCCCATTCCAGTGTCCCATTCCCAGCTCCTATTTCTGTCCTAAAGCTCCCGGCCCCATGCCCCAAAGCCTCCTCCGTTTGCCCCCCAGCTGCCCACACCCCCTCACATCACCGTGTCCCCTCCCCCAGGTGTGAAGGTGAAGGGGAAGAGCACTCCGAAGGAGCAGCTGAAGGGGCCGGAGGTGTGCACAGACCCCGTCAAGTTGGCCAACTACGCCATGGGGGTCAATTACCTGAAGGACAGCCCTGAGGTGGCCCTGAAGCCCGACTCTGAATATCCTGAATGGTATGTGGGGCTCACCCAGAGCGCTGCATCCCGGCTGGGGGTCCCGAGGGTGGGGGAGATGCGGCCTTCAAAGCTCCCCTCCAACTGTAGCAGCTCTGTGATCCCAGGAGCTGCTCTTCGCCTCCCCCACTGCAGCCTCGCCTGCTCTGTTTGCCCCCAGGCTGTTCCAGATTCACCTGGGTCCCCCCAAGAAGCTGGAGGAGATGGACCCCGAATCCCTTGAGTACTGGAGGCGCCTGCGGAAGTACAACTCGTGGCAGCGCAACAAGCTGAAGAAAAGCAGGAAGCTGTGAGGGGCTGTGATGAGGCAGCAGGTGTTGGTGTTGGCGTTGGCGTGGCCGACTCTGGGGCAGCTCCCACTGCCAGTCCCATCTTCTCACTACAAACTGACAATAAATCTCAGCTGAGGCCTCTCACAGAAACTGTAGCATAACCAGGAGCCCTGTGTGCTCAGTGCGCTCATCCCCTCCTGCACAGCGCTGGGGGAGGATTGAGGCTGTCATTTCTTGGGGTTTTTTCCACAATGGGAATTCTGTTTATTGCTGGCAGCAGGACCTGTGGCAGCCCAACAGGTCCCACTCCTTCTGCCAGCGTGCTTCTGTGGTGGGGATGGGTGGGAGGGCAGCGGCTTTGGGGTGAGAGTGACCCAACTGAGGTCACCGTGTCCCTGAGGAGGGTGGGCAGGAGGGGTCCCAATCCCCTCCCCGTGTGCCCTCGGCCTGGCGTAGCCCAGCGCTGGCCCTACTGCACTGTGTGGTGGATGAGGGGGGCTGCTGCTGCCCCAAGGCGGGTCTTTGCTGGTTCCCTGAGGGCCGCGTCGCTCTGCAGGGCAGGAAGTGGCAGAGGAAAGCAGAAGTGCTGCAGCGTGGGGCCGCTTTTGTTCCTAACCCCCATTTCCTCTGCGCGGGGCTCAGGGTGTGCTGAGCTGGGTGCTGGCGGCTCCGGGCACGCTCAGTACCTGGAGGTGAGTTCTCTGCACCTTTTGGACTCCATCCCCTCCTCTCCCGCTTGTGCTGCCATCTCCTGCTGGCACCCTGTCCCCTCGCAGCCAGAGGCAGCAGCTGTGGGGCAGGATGGGGGATTGGAGCTTGTCCATCAGCTCACTGGGAGAGGAGGTGGTGGCCCAGCTCTGTGAGCTCCTGGACACAGCCAGCCGGGGCTGGCGCAAGCTGGCCGAGGTGGCCGGGGCAGAGAAACGCTTCAAGTGCAGGTAGGGATGGGGGGACGATGGGATGGACCCTGTGCCCCCCAGCGCTCCCCCCCCACATCCCTGTTGTGGCCACATCTGCCCTGTTGTGTCCCCACTGTGCCTCACAGTGAGGAGGAGCTGGAGATGTGCTCGCTGAAGGTGCTGGAGCCCCTCGGCAGCCCCACACAGAGCCTCCTGCAGCTCCTGGCTGAGCGTGAGTGCAGCCTCCGGTACCTGTGGGGCTGCCTGCACAGGATGGGGCACACGCAGGCCTGCCAGCTCCTCAACAGTGCTGGTAGGGATGGTGTCACCTAGGGGCTGAGGGGGTCAGCAGGGGGAAGGCGGGGAGGTGAGGGGCTCATCCTGCTGGTGGAGTGGCAGTGGGGAGGTGAGATGGGCTGTGATGGGTGCAGCAGGGTGGGTGGGATGGGATTGGATTGGGTGAATGCAGCATGGTGGAATGGGATGAGAAGGGTGCAATTGGGTGGGTGGGATGGGATGGAATAGGTTGGAATTGGAGGGATGGGATGGAATGAGATGGGATGGATGAAGTAGGGTGGGTGGGATAGATTTCCCCTATATTCAGCACTGGTGAGGCCGCACCTCGAGTGCTGTGTCGTTTTGGGCCAATATCTACAAGAAGATATTGAGGCCCTGGAACATGTTCAAAGGAGGGCAACAAAGCTGGTGAGGGGTCTGGAACACAGGCCATATGAGGAGAGGCTGAAAGAGCTGGGAATGTTCAGCCTGGAGAAGAGGAGCTCAGGGGAGACCTCATTGCTCTCTATAACTTCCTGAAGGGAGGTTGTAGTGAGCTGGGGGTCGGCCTCTGCTCTCGTGTCATCAGGGATAGGAGCAGAGGGAATGGCTTCAAGCTACGGCAGGGGAGATTCAGGCTGGACGTTAGGAAGTATTACTGTTCAGAAAGGGTGGTCAGGCACTGGAATGGAGGCCCAGGGAGGTGGTGGAGTCACCGAGCCTGGGGGTGTTCAAGGAAAGGCTGGATGTTGTGTTGAGGGACATGGTTTAGTGGGAGCTGTTGGGAATAGGTGAACGGTTGGACTGGATGAGCTTTTAGGTCTTTTCCAACCTTGGTGATTCTATGATTCTATGATTTGCAAGGGAAAGGATGGGATGGATGCAGTAGGGTAGGTGAGATGGGATGGAATAGGATGGGATCGAATGGATGGGACGGGAAGGGATGGGAGATGGGTGCAGTAGAGTGGGTTAGAAGGGAAGTGAGTGTTGGAGTGGGATGGGAAGAAGGTCGGTGAGGTGTGGACAGGCTGGGCTGGGACAGGGCAGAGTGTGGTGGGACAAAGTGTGATGGGCTGGGATGCAGTGGGACGGGCTGAAGTGGAACAGCACAGGATGGGATGGGGCCAACTGGGACAGCATGCAGTGATACAGGCTGGGATGCCATAGGGTGGCACTGAATGGGACAAGTGGGATGGGATGGATGGAATGGGGCAGGCTGGGGTGTAGTGGGGCAGAGCTCTCAGCCAGCCCGGGCTCTTCTACAGTCCACGACGTGATTCGCATCACGGTGCAGCCGGAGTCACAGGTGGTGGCAGAGGGGACGCGGGTGTCCCTGACCTGCTGGGCCACCGGCCCACCGGGGCTCACCTACCAGTGGTTCTGTGGTAAGCAGGAGGTGAGACCCACATCCCCTCCCTGGCACCTGCACTGGTGGGAGTCAGCATCCTGAGCCCGGCTCCCCGATGCTGTAGGTGCCTGGAGCCACAGCCCCGGAGCTGATGGTCGACACGGCTGCACCTCCAGGACTGCCCCAGTGGTACATCTGCCGTGTGAGCTGCGGGGCTGCCTTTGCCTTCTCCAGGTGGGCTCACATCCAAGTGGAGAGGAGCCACAGCCCCGAATCAGGTGGGCTCTGGGGTCTGCGTTTGTGGGGCACTGCTCACCCTTGGGGCCGGGAATGGCTCCTGTAGGGCGCTGCTCACACATGGGGTATGAGTTGCTCCTGTAGGGCATCACTGACCCCTGGGGCTGGGAACGGCTCCTGCAGGGCACTGTGGAGCTGAGGCCAGCTGGGAGCACCCCTGCCACAGCCGGGTGCCGATCTGCCGCCATTCCCATTCACAGCCAGCGGTTACTGCCCCAGCATGGCGGGGCTGCAGATCCTGCAGCAGCCACAGCCGTGCCGCCTGGCCGAGGGGGACCCTCTGGTGCTGGAGTGCAGAGCCCTGGGGAACCCACCGCCGCAGTACCAGTGGTTCAGGAACCGGCGCCCCGTGGAGGGTGCACGAGGACCACGGCTCCAGGTGCTGTAGAGCCCTTGTCTGGCACTGCGTGGCATGGCACGGCATGGGGTGGCACAGCATGGGGTGGCACAGCATGGGGTGGCACGGTGGTCCCAGCTCTCCATCCCCTGCAGGTGCAGCTGGTGACGACAGCTGAGCGAGGCACGTACTCCTGTCGTGTGTTCAACCTCTTCCACGAGCTGTGGAGCCAGGAGGTGGATGTGGAGATCGGTGAGGGTGACCTCTGCATCTGCTGCTCCCCACCCTACAGCACCCTGGGTGTTGAGAAGCCCCGCAGCCCCATAACTGCTCCCTCCTGACCCCACTTTGTGCTGCCCAGGCCCGCAGCTCTTTGCCTCTGGAGCCCCCTGGCAGGAAGGGGATGGAGGTAGGTGCAGGTGGTGGCATTGTCCCATCGCTGTGCTCGGGGCCGTTGCCACCATCTCTCTCTTTGCAGACTCCCTGGAGCCTGGCAACCCCAACCAGCTGTATGGTGAGATCCCATCCAGGAGGGGCAGGGGACCCTGCAGGGGCTGCAATGCAATGTGGGATGCTGGGGACAGCGTGAGAGTCCCTCTGTGTCCCCCTCTGTCCCTGCAGCCACCGACAAAGTGGCACTGCTGGTGGGCAACATGCACTACCTGCACCACAAAGACCTGCGGGCGCCCATGGTGGATGTGCACGCGCTCAGCGCGCTGCTGCGGCAGCTCGACTTCAAGGTGGTGTCACTGCTGGACCTGCGCCGGGATGAGATGCAGATGGCAGTCGATGAGTTCCTGCTGCTCCTCGACAAAGGGGTCTACGGTGGGGCAGCTCCTGGGGGGCTGCGGGGCTCCCAGGGATGGGCTTTGGGGCGGTGGGGCAGAGCCGTGGGGTTTGGGGACACGTGAGTTGGGGTGAGACGTGCCACCATCCCCTCTCCCACCAGGATTGCTGTACTATGCTGGACACGGCTACGAGAACTTTGGCACCAGCTTCATGGTGCCCATCGACGCGCCCAGCTCCTACACCTCCGCCCACTGCCTGTGTGTGCAGCACGTGCTGCAGCGCATGCAGCGGCGCCGCACCGGCCTCAACATCTTCCTGCTCGACATGTGCCGCAAGAGGTGACACCCCACGTCCCACCTATGGGGGCATGGAGTGAGGGGTCCCCACGCCCCCCGCCTGTGGCTTTTTTGGGTGGCACCCCCACGGGGCCCCACAGCTCTCAGCAGCCCTTCTCTTGCAGGAACCTCAATGATGACGTCCTCCCGCAGGTCGGGGCGCTGGAGGTGACAGCCAACATCGTCTTCGGCTACGCCACGTGGGTCCCCTCTCATGCACCCTCCTTGCTGTGGGGCCAGGAGGACACAACCCCCTGGGCCAGGGCAGGAATGGGGTTGGGTTCCGATATCTCAGCCCTATTGGCATTTTTCCCTGATGTGTGGATATGCTGTGACTCCATGGCACCGCTCTGGGCTCCCGGGGATGCCGTCCTTTATGGGGTTGGAGATGCTCGTGGCTGCACCAGGCAACACCCAAGGGCTCAGAGCACCGAAGCTCACCTGGATTGCAGGGATTTGGGTTGAGGACGCCCCACCCCAGTGGGATTCCTGCAGCACGGGTGAGGCTCCCAGCACCTTAACCCACCCTCCCCATCCCCACAGATGCGCAGACGCCGAAGCCTATGAGCTGAGCCAGGGCGAACTCTCCAATGGTGTCTTTGTCACCTTCCTCAAGCGCTGGCTGCTGGAGGACGAGAAGATCACGGTGCTGCTGGACAAGGTGGCCGAGGGTGAGTGCTGTGCAGCTGGGCTTGGAGGGGCCAAAATCCCTCACTGAGCCCACGCTGTGCCTGGCCCTGCAGACATGGGCACGCTGGAGCTGACGCGGGGCCGCCAGGCGCTGGAGCTGCGCAGTAACCTGTCGGAGAGGCGGGCACTGACCGACCCCATCCGCTCCTTGGGACGGGCTGAGACCTCTGCCAGGAACCTGCAGTGGGCCAAGGCTCATGGTGTGTGCCACTGCTGCGTCCCCCAGCGGGTGGGGACACGGAGGGGGCAGCGCCAAGGCACGGGACGGCGGCACGCGGCGTCTCCAATGCACCCCGGCTTCGCGCTGGGGCCGCCTCAGGTGTCACCCCCAGTGTCAGCCCAAGTGCTGGCAGGGACCAAAGTGGTGTCACCGAGTTGCTCGCTGTCCCTGCAGTCCTCCCAGAGAGTCGCCACCTCTGCTTTGACTGCGGTGTCACCGTGCAGCTGGGCTTTGCTGCTGAGTTCTCCAACATCATGATCATCTACACCCGCATCCTGGCCGCCCCTGGGGACATCACTGAGTGCGTGGCCAAGCTCACCGACCTCCCCGAGGTGGGGTGGCACCCCCAGAGGGGCAGCACTTGGGGTGGGGGGCTCCCACGCTGCCTTCCCCTAACATGAAATCCCCCATGGCAGGAGCTGGACGTGGACCTGAAGTACACCAACCGGGAGAGCCCCGAGGAGCTGGGCAGCCCCTTGGTGCCCACCTGGAGCCTCACCTGTCCATCCTGCTGCCTCTACAGCCGCCTCTGTGGGCTGCAGAGATTGCGGGTAAGAGCTGTGCCACACCAGGTGCATGGGGGGAGAAGGGGGGTCATGTGAAGCCCCCCTGTGCCCACATTGCCGTGCCCTGCAGCAGGAGCTGACCTTCACCGTGTGCCTGCAGTTTCGCTACCGCGGTGTGGCCGACTTTGTGGAGGAGCGGCGGGTGGTGAGTGTGGGGCGGCCGCTCATTGCCAAGCTCAATCTGAGCCCCCGGGACCCCGGCACGCCGCCCGCCTCTGGGGGGTCCGGCAGCCCCCTGTCCGCATCACCCCCCGGCAGCTGGGGGAACAGGCCTGAGGAGAACCTGAGCCCCGAGGTGCACGGATCGCATGGGGTGTAAGGGGGCACGTCTGTGTACGGGGCACTGGCACCCCATAGAGAGAGCAGTGTCACCCTGTGTGCAGGGCACTGCCATCCCATTATAGGCAGGGCTGTGCCACCCCATACGCAGAGCAACGTCACCCCATATACAGGGCCGTGCCACCCCACGCACAGAGCGGTGCCTCCCCATACACAAAGCTGGGTCACCCCATATGCAGCGCAGGGCCACCCCGTACACAGAGCTGTGTCACCCTATTCACAGTACACAGCCACCCCATATTCAGGACAGTCCCAGCTCCGTGTCCCTTAGCAGGGCAATGAACCCCATACATGGGGAGGTTCCACCCCATATACAGAGCAATGCCAGTCTCATGTATCCTCACAGTGCAGCGCCACCCCATATGGACACCACGGCCCCCCATGTGCCCTGGCAGCTGTGGGGTGGGCAGGGGGCAGGGCCGGGTGCTGCAGCTCAGCAAGGCGTCGCACCGGGGCGGGATTGGGCTCATTCAGGCCTAGGAGAAATAGAGAGAAATAAGCAGATTAGGGGGCAAATCCCACTGGGGGGGGGGGATGGGAGGGGAGGAGTAGAGAGCTCCCGCAAGGCCGTGGGGTGAAGATTTTTGGGGGACGGTTGAAATGTGGGGTGGGGAGGAGGAAGAACGCCTTTCTGCTCCGATGACGGGAGCCGGGGGCCCTCGCTGCTGTGCGCCAACGCCGTGGGGCGGCGGTCGGGGCCCCTCGACCCAATTAGGGTGGGCTATGGGGCAGCCCCCTCCCCGCCGCCCGCCCTTTGTTGGCTGAGGGCCGCCCGGGCGTCGCGGCGGGGTCGGCGCCAACCTCTGCCATTATGTCATGCGAAAGGCGCAGCCCCCATTCAGCGCGTCCCGTCCCCCGGATCAAACCCCATTACTTCCACAGCCGTTGCTTCATTATCTCCCGCGCCGAGCACGCCTCTGCCCGTGGCCCATTAGCTGGGCTGGGGGGCCGGGGGAGCATCGATTATGCGTTTAATGGGTTGTTAAAGGTTTAATTATCGCTAACGAAGCAGATGAGCAGCAGCAGCCGGGGGACGGGGATGAGGAGCCGGGTCCCCACAGGGTCAGCGCGCGGCCCGGACGGTGTCAGCAGGAGACCCCGATGCCACCGCGGCCATGGGTGCAGCTCTGCCCCGTGTTTGGCCCCAACCGACCCCATCTGCCCCGAAACGTTCCACGTTTGGAACCCTGAAGCCCCCACGTGTGCCATCGTCCCCTTGCCGCCCCAACGTTGCCGACCGCACGCCGTCCCCGGCGCCATCATGGGGCATCTCAGCACCACCGCCCTTCCGTCCGCGCTCCTATCGGGACCCCGCTGGCCCCATTGGGGCTGAGCCCCCCCCTTCTGCCCAGCAATTACTGCAGCTTTGTGCCACTGGCACCGCTGGAGAGCAATTAGGGCCGGAGTGACGGCGGAGCAGATTCCCCCTGACAAGCAGGCGGGACGCGGGCTGGGATTCGGTCACCCATGTGTGGGGACGGCAGCGTTTCCCCGCAGATGCAGGCTGTGGGTGATGCTGAAGTGGGTTTCCCCATCGCCGAGCGGAGCACCGCGTCCCGCTCTTCTCCTTACCACCGCACGCCCGTCTCCCACAGCGCTGAAAAAACAACAGCCCCTGGTTGTTCCCTACGAAACTAGAGCGTTTCTGTTTGTGCATAAAAAAAGGAAAAAGAAAAAAAAAAAAAAAAGAAATTCTTGATGGTGGTAATAATAATAAAGGGGTGTGGGGATTTCCCCAGGTCCTGCGGGCCGCGCCGGGGCGGCTGCTGGGTGCCCCCAGCCGCTGTCCATGATGCTGCGTCCGGGGGGGTCACCTCCCTGCTCCGGTCCTGCCGAGCACCCCGTCGGGGTAGGGAGCAGTGGGGAGCGTTCATCAAATGGGCTGCCAGGTCTTGTCGATGGTCTGAATGTGCTCCTTGGCTTTCATGCGGAGCGAGGCGATGCTGGAGCTCCTCTGGTCGACGTCCTCCAGCGGGTACTTGTCCACAAAGGGGGTGCCGCACTGGTAGGGCGCGGGGGCCATGGGCTGCATGCCCTGAGCCATGGCCGGGGGGGTGTTGAGGAAGGAGTGCCCTCCGTAGGGGGGCTGCAGGGCCTGCGGGGCTCCCATGAAGCCGGGGATGCTGTGCACAGGGGTGGCACTGGAGATGGGCGACGTCAGCCACGGGTCGAGTGGGAGGGAGTTGCTCATGGGCCCCACGTTGGCCGTCATGGGCGGCCGGTTGAAGGACAGCATGGGGGTGTCATGGAGCTTCATGGAGCTGGCCTCCATCTTCTCCTGCCGCCTCCACTTGGCTCGGCGGTTCTGGAACCAGACCTGTCGGGGTACAGTGAAAGTGACCCAGCGGTGTGTGCCCCGTGGCTACGTTGTCCCTCACAACGTGCTCCTCAGGGGTGCCCCGTGTGTTGTGTCCCCTGTTGGGTGATCCCTGTGCCGTGTCCTATGCAAGATGTCCTACACAAGATGCCCCACGTGCTCTGTTCCACGTAGAGTGCCATTGTAGGGTGTCCCATGTGTTCTATCCCCTGTTGGTTGACCTTCATGCCATGCCCTATGCTAGACACCCCATGAGCTTTGTCCCATGTAGGATGTCCCTTGTAGGGCGCCCCACATGTTGTATCCTTTGTAGGGTGACCCCTGTGCCATGTCCTATGCAAGATGCCCTGTGCAAGACACCCCATGAGCTTTGTCCCATGTAGGGTACCCCATGTGTTGTATCCTTTGTAGGGTGCCATGTCCTATGTAAGATGTCCCATGTGCTGTGCCCCCTATAAGGTGCTCCATCCGTTGTGCCCCACATGTGGTGGTGACACAGTGACAGTGGGCACGGGCTGGTGGCTGGACTGGCTGATCTTAGTAGTCTGTCCAACCTTAACCATTCTGAGATTCAGCGCCCCGCGTAGGGTGACCTGTGTGCCACGTCCTGTGCAAGATGCCCCATCTGCCTGTGTCCCATGAAGGCTGTTCTATGTGACATGGCCCACGCACAGTGTCCCACGTGGTGTGTCCCCCCC